TGAATTGAGATATATGGCAGGTTGGACTCAGATAACGCAGTTCAAAGCAGATATTGGGGGATTTTCTGCCTTGATATTCTGGGTTATATGCCTGTGTGGAAGGGCCCTTGGATGAGATGCGAAGTTGGGTTCTGTAAGATATATTCCAAAGGAAGGAATGGGCAAATCTATATCTGATATTTTTTAAGAATATCATATGCAATCAAGCAGGCTGTTATGTTGGCGACTTGAAGGGACATATGTACATGTGACAAAATGTGTCATTTTATCAGTCCTTGATCTTCTATGATTCAGCAACAGTTGATTACTGTTTCCTACCCTTTCCACATCATGCATAATTTTATACACCTCTATTATGTATCTGCTTATGCACAGCTAAACTGCCCTGGATGTAATCATTTATTGTATGGAATATGCTTTTGTCCTTTGCTCTTTTGCTGCCGTTATCTGCATTACTGCTAGCCCCAGGCATGTAGGCTTCAGCCCCCTCAGAAATTCTCAGGGTGGTCCGCGAGAAGGCCTTACTGGTACATTATTTAAACTATCAAACTCAGCACCCCCCAAATCAAAATCCTGGCTACGGGTCTGGCTAGCCCACTAAAGGATTTTTCTTGAACTTGCTTGAACTGCACCTTTGAACCTCACAATGGGATATCCTGCCTGAATTCAATCCCCTAATCAATGTTCATTAAATACTACTACAATGTTACTCTGCTAGTTGTGTCTTTAAGGCCCCTTCTACACTGCCACACAATCCAGATTATCAAAGCAGATAATCCAAATTATCTGCTTTGAACTGGATTATAAGAGTCTATACCACCAGATAATCAAAGGAGATAATCAGAATTTTGCATGGTGGTGTAGAAGGGGCCCCAGTCTCAGAGGAAGGCAAAAGTAAACACCATCTTTGTGATTCTGCATAGCAGGGTGTTGAATGTGATGACCCTTATGGTCTCTTCCAACTCTATGATTCATCTGGACAAACCTTGCCAAGAAAATGAAATGATATTGTGCTGTCGCGCGCTGGGCCTGTGCATATGACTGTAGACGGGACATAAATTCTGTGTGCCCAACGGGACGCCGGGGCTGCCTCAGATTAAAGGCCCTTGGACCTCCCCAAAACGGAGTTCTGTAGAGGCTTAAAGTAAGTCCAACAAAGTTCTTTATTGATGAAAACAAACAGGTACTTTAAAGCTTCCTTAAAAGTCTATTGGCTCTTGCAATCTTGTTCACTGGGAACAGGCACTATCTTCATAACTGTATACTAACTAATGGGGAAATCCTTAACTTCTAATCTGGGCAGTCTGTACTTGCCTCTGTTGGCATGGAGCCCCTGCACCCGGTACCAACTGCGTCTGGCTTCCGCGAGCACCCTTACCAAGCAGAGCTTTGTAGACTTCCAGGGGAAAGGAGTTCAGGTTTCGGTGATGGCTGGCTGAAGCCCTTCAGAAAAAGGAGCTGTAACGCTGTAAAATCCTCAGCCAAGCTGTGGGGCCTTTTCTCCCCGGCCAAGCTGTAGGCTGTATATCTCCCCGGCCAAGCCGTAGAAGACGAAGCTTTCTACAGGAGCTCTTCGTTTTATGTCCTGTGCGAAAGGCTTCTCTGTGAGAACTGAACTCAAAATGGCTCCTATTCCCACTAAAACTCAAAAAGGGGCGGGACCAGGGAACCTAACTATAATTGACAGGTGGCTTGCCCTATGATTGCAGCCAAAAGAAGCCACCTATCTGCAGAGTCCCTGAAACTTAGGACTGCAACAAACATACAATGCAAAGCAAACAAAATTGGAGCTCCTGGTACAGTTGTACCTGCACAGATATGTTCACCTTTTGGTAGTCTCTGTAAGCTAGAAATGAGTTGAAGGCACACAACACATATAACTCCACTGGCCACTGCAAAACTGTCCTTCTGCCGGAGACCACTTTAAAATTGGGATCTTACAGGCCATGCCAAGGTTTCATGAAGACAGCAGCAACATGTGTGTAATGATCCAAAGAACAAGTTGTTCTGGCTGAAGGAGTGGGGAATGATTCAAATATTTATGCTGTGGGCAGGAGGAAGATGACAATGCTGAAACTTATATAATCTTGGAAGCATTCTTTGCAACAATTACAAGCAGAAGTGGGTTTGCTTACATTTTACCTTCTTCACCAACACTTAAAATTTGTGTTATATAAACTCTTATATTTTCTTGGTAGTATCAGAATTGATATCAAAAAGGCATATCCTATTCAGCAGCTACCCTATAACATAAAGATAAGGATGCTTAGGAGCAATTTAGCATGGCATGTTCCATTCACCAGTGTTTCAGCAAGCAGGGACCCACTTCTATTTTTATATGGTATAGTTCTATCTATTAATGCATACAGGACCATTTTCTCCTATTAAAAATACATTGCACTTTAATCTCTCTTTCTCCCATGCAAGCATACAGAGTATTTCGTTATCTTCATACATTTGTGTGGAAGGAACCCGAGTCTACTGTAAATGGATGCCAGAACACAGCCATACCCTCCTGACCAGACAAGTCAGAGGCCCCTTCCTCACAGCTGTATAAAATCCACATTGAACTGGATTATATATGCCAGTATGGACTCAGAAAATCCAGTTCAAAGCAGAAATTGTGGATTACCTGCTTTGATATTCTGCGTTATATGGTTGTGTGGAAGGGCCAAGAGAGAGGCCTCTTCCACGCAACTGAATAAAATCCCACATTTATTTATTTATTTATTGATTCATTTAAACTATTTATACCCTGCCTCAAGGCAGCTTACATAGAAGCAATTATGCAATGCCTTAAAACATATACAATGCCAAAAATTAAAATTAAATTAAAACATATTAAACATTTAAAAACATTACATTCCATATTAAAATTACGCCACCTATAGTCGTAGTCAAAGTCATTCCATAGTCATTCCATATATTTCAAATCTGTTCATTGCACTGCAATATTCACTGAAAGCCTGATCCAACAGCCAAGTTTTTACCTTTGTTCTGAAGGCTAGGAGGGAGGGGGCTGATCCAATGTCACTGGGGAGGGAGTTCCATAGCTGAAGGGCCACCACTGAAAAGGCCTTGTCTCGCATCCCCACCAGTTGCGCTTAAGGAGGTGAGACTGAGAGCAGGGCCTTTCCAGATGATCTTAATCTCAGAGATGGTTCATAGGGGAAGATACATTTGGACAGGTTGTTGAGAAGTGATTAGATGTCCCTGTTCATTTCCTCTCTGTTGTTTTGCTATTGTAATTTTAGAGGTTTTTTAATACTGGTAGCCAGATTTTGTCTATTTTCATGGTTTCCTCCTTTCTGTTGAAATCGTCCACATACTTGTGGATTTCAGTGGCTTCTCTGTGTAGTCTGACATGGTGGTTGTTGGAGTGGTCCAGCATTTCTGTGTTCTCAAATAATATGCTGTGTCCAGGTTGGTTCATCAGGTGATCTGCTATGGCTGACTTCTCTGGTTGAAGTAGTCTGCAGTGCCTTTCATGTTCCTTGATTCGTGTTTGGGCAAGGCTGCGTTTGGTGGTCCCTATGTAGACTTGTCCACAGCTGCATGGTATACGGTAGACTCCTGCAGAAGTGAGAGAATCTCTCTTTTTCTTTGCTGAACATAGAATTTGTTGGATTTTCTTGGTGGGTCTATAGATAGTTTGTATGTTATGTTTCCTCATCAGCTTCCCAATGCGGTCAGTGGTTCCCTTGATGTATGGCAAGAACGCTTTTCCTATGGGTGGGTCTTTGTCTTGACTCTCATGGCTTGTTCTCGGTCTTGCAGCTCTTCTGATGTCTGAAGTGGAGTATCCATTGGCCTGGAGAGCCCAGTTGAGGTGGTTCAATTCATCTTGGAGGAGGTGGGCTTCGCAGATTTTTTTGCACGGTCTGCAAAGACTTTAATGGTGCTTCTTTTTTGACTTGGGTGATGGTTGGAGTTTTTGTGTAGATATCTATCTCTGTGTGTGGGTTTTCTGTAAACGGTGTGACCCAATTGTTGATCTGGTTTACGAATGAGTAGGACATCTAGAAAAGGCAGTCTTCCTTCATTTTCTTTTTCCATGGTGAATTGTATATTTGGTTGGATGCTGTTTAGTTCTTCTTCTCCATGGCTCCAAATGGCAAAACAACAGAGAGGAAACAAACAAGGACATCTAATCACTTCTCAACAAAAGATTGCCCCAGGCACTGCCAGGCCATCAAATGCTAATCAAGGTGGTCAGGGTTTTTTTTGGTCGTGTCAGGAGCGACTTGAGAAACTGCAAGTCGCTTCTGGTGTGAGAGAATTGGCCGTCTGCAAGGACGTTGCCCAGGGGACACCCGGATGATTTTTGATGTTTTTATCATCCTTGTGGGAGGCTTCTCTCATGTCCCCACATGAGGAACTGGAGCTGATAGAGGGAGCTCATCTGCCTCTCCCCGGATTCAAACCTGCGACCTGTCGGTCTTCAGTCCTGCCAGCACAAGGGTTTAACCCACTGCGCCACCGGGGGCTCCTAAGGTAGTCAGTTGAAACATTCACACCCAGCTCCAGCAGACAAGAGTCCTTTGTCCCACCCTGGTCATTCCATAGATAAACCCTTTTTCCTAATTCCAACAGACCTCACTACCTCTGAGGATGCTTGCCATAGATGCAGGCGAAACGTCAGGAGATAATGCCTCCAGAACATGGCCATATAGCCCGAAAAAACCTACAACAACCCAATAACCCACAATATCTGCTTTGAACTGGGTTATCTGAGTCCACACGGCCATATACTCCACTTCAAAGCAGATAATGTGGGATTTTATTCAGCTGTGTGGAAGGGGCCATTCTGCAGTCCCGATGAGCAACTTTTCCTTGCCTCTCTTTTGCCTCTGCCCAAATTGGAGGCAGGCGGCGACGCCAACCACGCCAGCCTCATTCATGCCCAGGTTTCTCCACTAGGGGGGGAAGGCCTTTTTGTGCCTCGGGCGGGCGAGAAGCCGCTTTTTCCTTCTTTTTTCGACCGCCTTAGGGGAAGCAGGGAAGGAGAAACTCCGAGGCAGGCCGGCCGGCTCGTGCGCCTCTCTGGCCCAATCCCGGGCTCTCCCTCCCTCCCTCCCTCCCTTCCTTCCGGGCCTAGTCTCTCCATCCTCCTCGCGCCCTCTTTTTCTTCCCCCCGCCCGTCGGAGGCTGGCGGAGGGATGACGTCACCGGATCAGGCTGACCGGCAATGGGCGCCATTTTGAAACCCCCAAACCTCCGGCGGCGGCGGCGGCGCTGGCCGCCACAGCAGAAGCAGCGGCAGAAGCGGAAGCCGAAGCGGCGTCTCTAGCCTCCCGCCCCGGTGGGTGCCTGGGCCTCGCGGGCTTGGCAGAAGGGCTAGTCTCCGGCCGGCACGCGCCGCGCGACATGGCAGGTAAGGCGAGGCCGGAGAGGAGGGCCCTGGGCCGGCGGCAGGGCAGTGGGCTTGGGCCTAGTCGCCGGGGAGGCGCCTTCAGGGCCTGGCGGGCTGGCTGGACCTCAGCGCTCTCTTTCTTTCCTCCCTCGCTTGCAGGAGTGGCCGGCGGAGGAGGAGGAGGAGGCGGCGGCGGCAGCAACGACTTCCAGTGGTGCTTTTCCCAGGTCAAGGGGGCCATCGACGAGGACGTGGCGGAAGGTAAAGGCCTCGCTCCCCCTGCCCTCTTTGCCTACAAGGGGAAAGCCTTATGATCACACCGCTTCCCCCGCGCTCGTTCAGGTTTATTTGAAGAATCACAACGCTGAAGAATCACAACCCCCCCCCCCCCCCCGCTGCCATGCTCAAGCACACCACCAAAGCATTCCCGACAGATGGCCACCCACCCTCTTGTTTCAAAGCCTCCATCCCAGTGTTACTGTCAAGAGGTTCTTCCTCACATTTAGGTGGAATATCTTTTTCCTGCAGTTTGAATCTATTGCAGAAAACAGCCATATAGTTTTATAACTGCATGAAGACTGCCCGGAAGCTTCAATTAGTCCAACGTGCGGCAGCCAGGTTACTAATGGGAGCGGGGTACAGGGAGCATACTACTCCTCTGTTGCGCCAGCTCCACTGGCTGCCAGTCAGCTTCCAAGGACAATTCAAAGTGCTGGTCTTAACCTATAAAGCCCTAAACGACTCCGGCCCAATTTACCTGTCCGAACGTATCCTCCCCTATGAGCCATCAAGATTACTAAGATCGTCTGGAGGGGCCCTGCTCTCGATCCCACCGGCCTCACAGGTGCGGCTGGTGGGGACGAGAGACAGGGCCTTCTCGGTGGTGGCCCCTCGACTCTGGAACTCCCACTGGAGATCAGAACTGCCCCTTCGATCTTAACGTTCAGGAAACAGGTGAAAACCTGGCTTTGGGGATTGGCATTCAACGAATGAGCCATGATCCTGTGATATGGATGGATGACGACGAATAATGACTTTGATGACGACTGACCACTGTAATCATATGATTGTATTTTTGCTATTTTAATTATTTCAATGTTTTAATGTGTTAGTGTTATTTAGAAATATGATGTTTTAATGACGGTCTGTAATATTGATGTTGGAAATCGGCCCGAGTCCCTCGAATGGAGGTGAGAAGACCGGTATACAAAACTACCAAATAAATAAATGAGGGTCCTTCCACACAGCCCTATATCCCAGGATATCAAGGCAGAAAATCCCACAATATCCGCTTTGAACTCTGTTATCTGAGTTGACACTCAGATAATATGGGAGTTTCTGCTTTGTAATTCTGATATATAGGGCTTTGTGGAAGGGCCCTGGGTCTACACTGGATTACTGTATATACTCAAGTATAAGCTTAGATTTTCAGCCCCCTTTTTAGGCTGAAAAAGCTCCCCTTGGTTTATTTATTTATTTATTTATTTATTTATTTTATTACTTGCACTTATTAACCGCCACTCTCAGCCCTAGGGCGACTCGTGGCGGTGTACAAAACATAGAAAAAACAACAATTTACAATGAGTCAAGACCACAGTACAACATCTTACTAATACAGACATCTAATTAAAACTAAAAATCCGCTTCGTCTTATTTGGGGTCATAGACAATCTCATAGTCATAGTCCATTCCGGTCGTCCTTCCGATAGCATAGCACTCAGTTGAAGGCCTTCTCGAAGAGCCATGTTTTCAGGCCCTTACGGAAGGCCATAAGGGAGGGCGCCTGTCTAATTTCAGCAGGGAGGGAGTTCCATAGCCGAATGTTTATACTCGAATCGAGATTATTTATTATTTTACTCTGTTATTAGTATTATTTTATTACTTTTATTATTTTACTCTATATGGAGCCCCCGGTGGCACAGTGGGTTAAACCCCTGTGCTGGCAGGACTGAAGACCGTCAGGTTGCAGGTTCAAATCCAGGGAGAGGTGGGAGCTCCCTCTGTCAGCTCCAGCTCCTCATGCAGGGACATGAGAGAAGCCTCCCACAAGGATGATAAAAACATCATCCGGCATCCCCTGGGCAACGTCCTTGCAGACAGACAATTCTCACACACCAGAAGTGACTTGCAGTTTCTCAAGTCGCTCCTGACACGACAAAAATTTTTTTACTCTATTATTATTATTGCATTTATTATTTTTCTCTATGATTGTTTATATTGCATTTATTATTTTTCTCTATTTATTATTATTACATATATTATTTTATTCTCTTAATTATTATGGGAAGGATAGGTGAGCACATTTACATGGAAGAAGTTGAGAATCATGGTTTAATCGGAGTTGGACAGTCTTATCTTAAATTACAGTTTTATGTAAATATTCAAAAGCTTTTAACCTACTGAAGCCTCAATTAATGTAATTTTATTGGTATCTATTTTTATTTTGCATTTCCCACCCTCAGCTTATACTCGAGTCAATACATTTTCCCAGTTTTTGTGGTAAAATTAGATGCCTCAGCTTATATTTGGGTCGGCTTATACTCGAGTATATACGGTATATGCCAGTGTGGGCCCTTCCATCCTATATCCCAGAATTCCAAGGCAGAAAATCCCACAATATCTGCTTTGAACTATGTTATCTGAGTCCATACTCAGATAATGTAGCATTTTCTGCTTTGAAATTCTGAGATATAGGGCTGTGTGGGTCTACACTGGATTATATGCCAGTGTGGACTCAGGGTCCTTCCACACACCCCGATATCCCAAAATATCTGAGTCCACACTGCCATATATCCCAGTTCAAAGCAGATAATGAGGGATTTTATTCAGCTGTGTGGAAGGGGCCTCAGATAACCCAGTTCAGAGCAGATACTGTGGGATTTTCTGGCTTGATATTCAAGAGGCCATTCCACACAGCCCTATATCCTAGAATATCAAGGCAGAAAATCCCACAATATCTCTTTGAACTGGGTTATCTGAGTCCACATTCAGATAATGTGGGGTTTTATGCCTTGATATTCTGGGATATAGAGCTTTGTGGAAATCCCTGGCTTATATGGCTGTGTGGAAGGACCCCTTCTCTTACCGTCAGGAGGTTCTTCCTCACGTTTAGATGGAATGTCTTTTCCTGCAATTTGAGTCCATTGCAGAAAACTGCCATATAGGGCAATGTAGATTCATATAACATAGTTCAAATCAGATAATGTGGATGATCCGCTTTGATAACCTGGATTATACGGCAGCATAGAAGGGACCAAAGCCTCCATCCCAGGCCCCTTCAACACATCTGAATAAAATCCCATATTGAACTAGAATATATAGTAGTTTGGACTCAGGGTCCTTCCGCACAGCCCTATGTCCCAGAATATCAAAGCAGAACATCGCACAATATCTGCTTTGAACTGGATTATCTGAGTCAACACTGCTATATATTTCAGTTCAAATCAGATAATCTGGGATTTTATTCAACTGTGTGGAAGGGGCCTCTGAGCACTTCCACATGGCCATTTAACCCAGAATATCAAGGCAGAAAATCCCACAATATCTGATTTGAACTGCGGCCCCATTCTCACAGCTGAATAAAATCCCATATTTTCTGCTTTGAACTGGAATATATGGCAGTGTGGACTCAGATAACCCAGTTCAAAGCAGATTTCTGGGACTTTCTACCGTGGTATTCTGGGTTATATGGCTGTGTAGAAGGGCCCCTATTCTTACCATCAGGAGGTTCTTCCTCGTCTTTTCCTGCCATTTGAATCCATTGCATAATTCTGCATTTTTTCGTGTCAGGAGCGACTTGAGAAACTACCAGTCGTGCTAGTCCCTTCTGGTATGAGAGAATAGGCTGTCTGCAAGGACGTTACCCAGGGGATGCCTGGACTTTTGATGTTTTTACCATCCTTGTGGGAGGCTTCTCGCATGGGGACCTGGAGCTGACAGAGGGAGACCAACCTGCTCTCCCCAGATTCAAACCACTGACCTGTCAGCAGTCCTGCCAGCACAAGGGTTAAATCATTGTGCCACCATATGAAATCCATATTATCACTTTTTGAACTGGATTATATGCCAGTGTAGACTCATGCAACCCAGTTCAAATCAGATAATGTGGATTATCTGCTTTGATAACCTGGATTATATGGCAGTGTAGAAGAGGACAAAGCCCCCATCCCACTCTTACTGTCAGGAGATTCTTCCTCGTGCTTAGGTGGACTATCTTTTCCTGCCATTTAAATCCATTGCAGAAAACCGCCATATGAAATCGAGATTACATGCTTTGAACTGGATTATATGGTAGTGTAGATTCATATAACCCAGTTCAAATCTGATACTGTGGATTATTATACTATTTATATATATCCCACTTTTTCTCTCCATACGGAGATTCAAAGTGGCTCACAACTAAAAGGATTACAATACAACTTCAAATATACAAGTATTAAAGCAGTATAAAACATAATCAAAAGCATATAAAATCACAGGAGCCCTTGACTTGATCTTTAAAATTTCAAATCTGAAATGAACTAAGAATGGCTAAGACGATGGAACGGTTGAGGTTTTGAACAAGACAAAGTTTTTATCCCAGATTATCTGGCAATAGAGACTCATGTAATCCAGTTTAATGCAGAAAATCTGGGATCAGATCCTGGGATATAAGGCCTATCTGGAAGGGCCCTCAGCCTCCTTTTCTCCCAAATTTGAACTTACCCATCTCCATCAGAAAGCCTTCCAAATATTTGATCATTTTGGTCGCCTTTCTCCCTTTAAACATGCTACAGGTTCCTCTGGCACACAATGGGTTGGGGAAATGCCTCTGATCTCTACAGCAAGTCAAAAAGTCAAAAGATGTGCTCTTTCTTCAGGAAATCCTTTCCTATATATCCATTCAAGGATATATTTCTATCTTTCTCCTCTTCTTGGAAAATGTGTAGGGGGATTGCAGAGTCTGACTAAGCTCTGCCAGCTCTGCATCCTGCAGAAAAACATTTTTTTTCCAATCTCTCCTATTCTTTATGTCTTGGAGAGATGATAAGACAGTGAAGGAAAGCAACCAGAATAAAATAGAGAAGTGTGTGTGACTGAGTAGTCTATCAAAACTGTCATGCTCTTCTTCTGTGTTATTTGGGAAAGAGTGCCTCTTCAGTTAAAAATCGTTTTTAGCAAGCATGTCAGACGATCTTCGTAGTAAGACAAAATTGGTCATTTACTGATACGTTAATTAGGTTAACTGGTGCTGCATCTGCACCATAGAATTAATGCACTTT